ATTGAACACGGAATCGCATCATCTACTCGAATCTATGATAAATCTTTATATGTATCTTGTTGTTGAACTCCATTATAAGTTGCAAGTCATTTTCTTCTCTTAAATCACCTCTAAATATGTTAATTATGTAACAACATTTATTTTGGAGTTTAATTTGCATTAGATTAAAAAGTTGGGGTTTAATTTGCTTTAAATTAAAGTTGGGGTTTAATTATCACCACTTTTTTTTGTTGGGGTTTTTTAGGTGAAACAAAGATTCCTTAGGTTTTTTTTTGGCATTTTTTCCCACGGATTGATATGATCTGACGCATAGTATACGCATGCTGACGTCGGATAAATGTTTTGGGCCGAAACTGCTCGATAATTAAGCCCATAAATAAAAACTGAACTGACTAATAAAAAGCTAATATGAGACAGATTAAACAATCACATTTCTGCTAAGTCGAGTAACAAAAAAAAACTAAAAATTACATCTTCATTTTTAGCATTTGTAATTGTAACCATTTGTTTGTTTACGACAAAGAAAAAAACCGTTATTTGAAAAAATATATTTATGTGAAAGGGACAAATACGAACGATCGAGAACAAAAAAGGAACAAGATGTATCTTGACAACAATCTTGTCAAAACCCTAGCTAGATGGTGTCTTCTTCTACAAGCAATCATGATCTCTTCCAATACCGTGGCTCTCAAGGAACCCGACTATGTTAATATGAACATAACAATTCGGAACGCAATGAGCGGACTAATCCGCCCGGAAATCGTCTATCGATGCCAGTCTAAACGCAAAGACTACGGTTGGCATCGATCTAAAAAGCCAGGGATCCAATTTTCATTCCCAATCATTCTAATAAAAGGCGAAAGCAAGATACCGGCGATTCACATTTGCCATATCCGGTCAGTCTTAGGAACAGCCACACTCGTGATCGAAAACACCTACCTAGACGCCGAGATGTGCCCTAAATCGTCATGTGCCCACGAGGCGACCCCGAAAGGGATTGTGTTTAAAGGCCTTGAATGGGATTTCAAAACTGTATTTCCAAAACTCAAACCAGTTGAGTATCTAGAATTGCCATGGACACCTTGGCCAAACACAACGTGAATTTCTTTTATCATCTTTTTGTATTGAATGTAAATTATAGAAATTTAAAAATTCATAATCAGTTTGTCACATTACA